CCAGCTGGCGAAGCAGTACGACGGCGGTGATCATTTGCATCCTAATGTGGCTGGGTATCAGGCGATGGCGGATGGGTTTCCGCTCGAGATATTCAAGGACTAGACTGCCTAGGTAGCTAGGAATAAGATTGGCTAGAGGAAACGAGAGGTTGTAGATAGTGAACGTGGGATGCGTACATATAAAAAGAAGAGATTTGAGAGAAACAAATTCAAGACGACGCAAGACCCACGATATGAAAAACAAAAGACCACCAACAACCGGCCGCAATGCATATGCTAGGGTATTGCTAGGACAAACTGAATGCATAAGGCCGCCCCATATAATATCCAGACTTCGACCAACTGAGAGGTAAGAAAAGGATCCGAATGGAAATAAGAGCAGGAAAATAAGAAAAGATAAGAATAAAAAAAGAAGAAGACCGCCAGTTCCTGTGTGTATTTCTAAGTACACAGCGAGGGTTGAAAAAAAGGGAAATAACGGAAGCCCGGTCAACAGGCAAACACAACGGCCACCAGCCCATACCATAAAACTAGAAAGTCTTGCGTGTGACCGCGTCAACCTCGACATCTAGCAGCTTCTTGGCCTTCTCGGAGCGACTGTTGATGCGGGTGGGGAATGGAACAACCGTTCTATAGACATTAGATCCCACTCTCATACCGCCAGTATCCTTGGGTATACTTACGCCTGTCCCTTGAACGACCACTGGGGCTCGAACTTCTGTTCCTTTCCATCAGGACCCAGAGGCCACCCGATGTCGACAGTCGCCAGCATTGTTGCGAGAACGATGAGCAAGCTATTCTCTGCCAAATTCCGGCCGATGCAGATTCTGCTTCAAGTTAATCACTGTGGCGCTGAATGGTAGGTACACAAACCGTCGACCAAAGCCAAAATTTCCAACAGGCAACGGCTCCTCATTGCCCCCTTCGCCTCGTGGCAGGTACCTCTCAGGCCAAAACCGATGCGGCTCGGCATAGACGTTCTCGTCGTGCATCATGGCCCAGACGTTAGGGTACACGGTGGTGCCTTTGGGTATAAACATGCCTTCGTAGACATCATCTGCCACAGTGGCGTGAGGTATACCTAAGGGTGATAGTGGATTCATACGGTATGTCTCGTTCAGGACGAGCCGGGTGTAGGGAAGAGATGGTAAGTCGTCACATGTAGGCAGCCGGTCACGTCCAACCACACGGTCCACTTCTGCCTGGGCCTTTTGCTGCACCTCGGGGTTCTGCATCAGGTATAGCACGAGCAGCATAACCGTTGCTGCAGTCTAGACTCCGTTAGCTGCATGAAATCACCCGAAAACCAGCTACTGACAGTGTCATTCCCGGCAATAAGGACGGTGGCAGCTGCCCCCTTGATGTCCTCGAGGTCGAATTCCGTCTCGACGCCCTGTTGGGCTGCTTCCGTATGTATGGCAACCCGATTATGCGTGAAGAACCTGCGGTCGAGATTGGATGCCTGGTGAGGGGTCAGTGTGTGTTGATAGGGGTAGGTTGGGGTCAGGCGGCACGATTACCATCTGGTTGAGCGAGGCCTCGAATGGGAGATTTGTAATTGTTTCGATTGCAGAGCGCCATGTATGCGCGTAACGAAGGCGTTCCATGCACGGCAGCCAGGCGGGTAGGTATCGGGCTGTAGTTGAATTAGACGCCGTCGCGTATCTGGCAGCACGTGAGGCCCGACTTACTCAGGGGGAAGAGGTCCAGAATCGAACTTCCCGGCGCACCTGCTTTCCCGATTGCGTCTGCAGAGTCTTCAGCTATTCCGATCCACTTGCTCTCAGGTCCTTCGACATCTAGTCCATAGGCAATCTTGAGCACAATGGCTACCGAGCACCGGCGCACGGCATTCGGCCAGTTGTCCGAGTCATTGATCATGCCCTGGCAGAAGATGAGGGCTTCTCTTCTCTGCAGATCAGTGTACTGACCGATTCTGGACTTGGAGAAGGGCGGTTGGAGGACGCGGCGATGGAGCTGGTATTTTGAGCCCCAGCGCAGCCAGGTCAGTGTTGGAGCCCATCCCATCCTGCGCGACGAGAAGTTAGTGTGTGTAATGGTGATAGTGACGTGCAGCGGGCGACGTACTCCTCGAACATGACGAACCGAGGTCGGTCGGCATAGTTGGAACCACGCTTCTCAAGGAGGTCGATGGCAGCTTTGAGGCTGTTGAGAACGATCCATCGCGACCCGAACGTCTGGAAGTAGAGAACATCCGATTCTGCAGGTCCGGCGGCGGACGACCCCTTGCGTTAGACTTGCCTGCCGGCAAACACGCGCATAAGGTAAAACGGGACGGGCCCCCGGCCGGGGAACGTACTATACTGTTTCCCCCACTCGGCATACTTCTTGAAAGCGGCTTCGGCTGGGACGACACGGTAGTGACCGAAAAGGAGCTCTCCCGGCGGACTTGGAGGCAGTGGAGGCCGATGAGTCTTTTTGGAAGGCACCAGAAGATGAAACAGGAGGACGCCAGCAACGGCAGCTACGGCACCGATAAGCCCGAGGGCCGCACCTTCCCCGAAAGGCGAGGGCGAGCTCAGAAGTGGAACCATGTTTGCGGGCAAGTTGGGAAGCTGCGTCCAAACCTTTCTCTCTATGCCACGAAATCCCTTCCGAGCCAAGGAAACGCAAACCTGCACAGGCAAACGAGTGTCGCCGCCCTCGACGTCGAGCTCGACATATATATCTGCAGAAAAGAGGAGCGCATGGCGGACAACAGAGGAAGAGAGGGGGGGGGGGGTCTCTGGGGCTGCTGTTGAACCCGTCCCATCCGCATCTGGAAGACAAGACGCCAGTCGCCAATGGCGACGAGATCCATCAGAGTCAAGGGAGCTAGTACTGCACGTCTTAGTCCCCATCAGCAGCTACTCGTTCGCTTTGGTGTTGCCCAGGCCACGGACCAGTGATAACGATGATACATGTGGCTCCGAGCAGGCGCACCCGGCCATTCAAGTTGGCCAGCCATTCAAGTCGGCCTTCGCGTCACCTCTCTTTTGCTGTGCCTATCGAACGCCTCCGCTGCTGTCGGTTCGTTGATTGTCGCCAGCCGGTGCCGCATTGTCCCAGTCGCAGCCCCCAGCACGCCACATTATTGGCAAATCATGGTCTGCCCGTCGGCTCGTCGCTCGTCGTGCATCGACTTGGCCTCGGAACCGATGGGCGACGCGGCCATCCAGCCACTCGCAGGCCCCGTCCTTTTTCTCTGTACGACCGCTGAGGCGTCTTGAAGAGGACAACTCGGAGATTATTCACTCGGGTGTCAGGCCCAGGACCAAATCAGGACCCAGCGCGGTCTGGAGGATCGGCGGTTTTGCTCCCCCCGCTAATGTATGCCCGCAACTGGGGGCCTGGGGCTCTCCCGGGTTTGCTGCTCGCTGGTCACTCTGGTCTGGATCCCGCTTACCGGATTGGTTTTGGCCCGGCACGGAATCGACAGACGGCGAGCGACGCCATACGGGTGGGGACTGTGAGCCACCGCGACACCCCAACCCGCGAGACCGATGTCCGCCGTTTGCTTCGCTGCTCCCGCCCGTTCCTGAGCTCCATCGTCAGACCCGGGACGCGGCCCCGAGGGGAGACGCAACCCCCGGATCCCGGATCGGGCCCTTACCCGGCGCGTTGGGTCAACCCTAACCCAGCTCGGCATTGGAGGTGACACGGTCCCGGGTGCGACGTATCGAGGCAACCACCCGGCCGGAGATATGCCCGCCATCACAGACAAAAGCTATCATGGCGCCATGGTCGCTTGGCTGCAAGCCACCAGAAACCCCGTCTCATCACATCGTACATCCTGGCCCGATGTCACCGAAAACAGGGCCCAGGCAGGACGGGGCAGCGAAGATCGCGAATCAGCACTTTGCGAAATTTCATGACTACAACGACGCCGCCTCCTCCCTCTATTTTAGCGCACTGCCGCTGCATCCCGCAACAAAAAGACCCCCAGACCGGTCGCGAGAAAAGGTCGCATGCAAGGAGACGCAACCAGATGCAAGCCCTGCGATTATATCAACCCCACCCCAACCGACCGACAGACAGCAGACAGGCGGATGGCCACCTGCACATCGTTGAACGAACTGCACGTCGACGGAGATCAATCCTCCCCCCCTCTCTGTGCTCAACTGCCAACCGCATAACAGCGACACAGTCCACGGCGCCAAGCGAACCACCACCACAGCGCTGAGCGGATCCCCTATCTCGCCGTGGCCCCACACCGCCTCCCTTCCGCTTTCGATCCCGTCTGCATTCCTCATCGTCAACAGTTGGATCCTCCTCGAACCGCTGAGCTGCTCGGCCGGCTCCGGTTTGTCTTTGGTCCAATCGCGCGGGGTGTTCTCCTGCCCCGCAATCCCGCCCCACACTTTCTGCGTTGAATACCCCGATCGCCGATGCGGTGTGGATGCCCCGTTTGAGTAGTACCATTCCCGACAAACCTCTGGTGGGCGTTTCGAGAATGATGTGACGCAATTGGAAGAGTACGGTGTTGTTGAATGCGGTTGCGCTTATGTCACACCAACGAAGAGCCAAACTTGCGTGTTGGAGGATTCTGGAACATCCACCCATGCTCAATCTGCACTTTGATAGACACCAAGTTGTCACTCTGATCAGTTAATGGTGTCTGTCAAGAGAGGCTGAAATCGTAAGAGTGTATTTTTGGTTTGTCTGTCAGAGGAGTAGATTCGTTCGAAACCCATCTTTTCTACGTCCAGGTATCACCGCTTTGGAGAGCAACCTGGTAACAGACACAGGGTGCATTCCAAGACTTGTCTCAAACACTGGAACATTTCCGGTTGCTGAACGACTCAGCCCGAAAATACTGAGAGATAGATGCATATATTCAGACACCCACGCGCAACGAGCTTTCATATTAGATGACAGTTCGTGCATGACCATTAGATAGAGAGACCGTTTTCTCCCCTTGGAGGGGGGATCAAAAAAAGAACTAAAAAGAGGTGTACACATCTTGTAATCCAAATCGAACAAGATGCGAACCTGATATATGGGGAATGTGAGGCTCGAACTCACGATCTTTGGCTAACTCTGATGTCTAACCAGATCATATCTCTATGAGGCCAACGCTCTACCGACTGAGCCAATTCCCCTTCGATATTCCATCATCACAATCATCATCTATTAACCCCTTCCACCGACCTTCTTGAATGAAGACTTCTCCTTGGCGTAAATGTACGTCCCTCTTTTACAGTCACATGCCCTTTTCTTATCAATCTAAAGACTAAAAAGTTTGTTTGGGACGGTTACGCCAGGAAGGAGCACCCAGGCAAGGTGGAAGGCGCGCAAGAACCACAAGCACTGTACTTAGCCAGCCACAGACTCGCCTCTCCTGTTCCACAAAACTAGCATCTTTACCTCAGTCTTTCAAACGCTATGAAGTAAAAAGAGAAAGCCTTGGGTAGAACTAAACGGTAGTTACTGGTTCTCTATTCATATATGGCCACCTATATATCAATTTCCTTACCTAGAGCAAAGTGAACGATGTCTAGTTACATAGGCAGGTAGTCAGGACATTCCAGGACAGGCAGGAGCACCCAGACAAGATGAAAGGCGTGCATGGACCCAGGGCACTGTATTTAGCCAGCCACAGGCTCGCTTCTTCTCTTCCACAAAAGCAAGCATCGTTATCTCTAGTCTTTCAGACACCAGGGATGTGTAAAAGTCCGTTGGGTTCCACAACTGTTTTCCGGTCGAACAAATATCTCGAGAAGCGGTATGGAGACTGCAAAACAAGGTCTGTTCCAGAAACGACCGATGTGGTCTGCTAAAATAGATGGTAAATGTCACCCTCTTTCCTGCGCCTTGCCGTCCCTTCTTTCCCAACCGCCACACGTTCCCCTCAACCTACAACGCCATGAACCAAGGACACGAAATATTTAACCTCAAAGCTTAACAGTTCAAGCACGACCCAACAGCGTCTTCCGAAACCACTTCTCCGTCTCTACCAGCTGCGTCAACCGGGAATCCGCCCTCGCAAAGATGTGTCCCTCCCCCTCCAACACAACCAACCGCACATCCCCACCAAGCTTCTCAACCCTCCGCTGAATCTCCTCGCTCTGCTCAACAGGCGCAACGGTATCACCATCCCCATGCACCAGCAACAGCGGCGGCGTGATCCTCTGCGCATGATAAAGCGGACTCCTCGCCCTAAACAGCGTCTCCTTCTCGTCTTCCGTCTTCCCCCTCAGCCCCAGCAACCTCTCAACATAGCGGGACTCGAGCTTATGCGTCCTCTCACCCAGCGCCCGCACGTCGCTCACGGCGGCAGTGCACACCCCGCCCGCAAAGATGTGGGGATTCCAGGCCAGACAGCACAGCACACTGAACGCGCCCGCGCCCACGCCCTCGATCCCCACCCGGTTCCTATCAATCCGCCCGCTCCAAGCGAGATACTCAACAGCCTCGGCGGCGTCTTCCTGATCCAGCTCACCCCAATTCCCAAAGATCGCGTCCCTGTACGCCTTCCCGTGGCCCGAACTGCCCGTGCAGTTGAGCGCGAGGTAGGCGTACCCCCTGCTCGTGAAATACTGGACCATCATGTCGAGACCGGGGGATGCGTGCATCGTCGGCAGGCCGCCGCCGTGGACGTTTACGATCAGCGGCGGGAGCTCGCCCTCCTCGGGGGGCGCGACGAAGCGGGGGTTGTGCGGCGGGAAGAAGAAGCCGTGGACTTCGCGGTGGGGTTCTTTCAGGGTCGTGAAGCGGATGGGCTGCGGGATGGAGAAGATTGTTTCTGGCAGGTGGTGGTGGGAAGAAGAGGAGCGGACGAGGGTTGCTTCGGCGGAAAAGTCGTCGAGGATGTCGATCGTGTAGACGCCTAGAGGTGTGGTGCAGCCGCTGCCGATGGCGATGAGAGACGAAGAGGACTGGGCGGCGAGGCAGTCCATGCTGTGGTCGACGAGGGGGAGGTCGAGGGGGGTCCAGTCTTGGGTCGAGAGGTCGATCAGGACTAGTTGGTACTCGCCGTTGCTGACTGGGGCGGCGACGATGGTGTTTTCGGTTAGGAAGACGTAGCTTTGGCTTGTGGGATGTTAGTTTGAGGCGTGTTAGGTAGGGAAGAGACAAAAAAAAAGACTTACCATCCAACCCTCCCGTGCGCATCCCCGAACTCGGCCTTTTCCAGCCCGGGGAGAAGAATTCGGTCCCGCTGGCCATTCCGGATCCTGCAGAGCTGGCGGTATCCCGACTTGTCGGACCCGAAGAAGAGGTCCCCGTCTGGAGACCATCTCGGCTCCGCGATGGAGTCGTCCTCGTCGCCCGCCACCAGCCTGACGTCCGAAACCGACCCGTCCATCTCGTTGAACTCGGCCATGTACAACTGCACGCCGGTAAACGGCATGTTCGGATGGTTCCACTGCAGCCATGCAATTTCTGTCCCGTCCGGACTGAACCGGGGATACGAGTAAAAGTCGGCCCCCTCGAGCAGCCGCTGGATTTTCCGGGTCGCCAGGTTGATCGCCACCACGCGGTTCTCGACGCCGTCAGGGGTAGGGTGGTCGGCATGGTCCTCCTCGATGGCCAGCACCCACGAATGGTCCGGGATGTCGTCCCAGATTTCGGGGTGGCAGTCAAAGTCGGCGTAGCGGAGCGTGGAGGACTGCACAAGCGTTTCGACTGTCCCGTCGTCGACATCCAACAAATTCAGCGACTGCCGTCGCGAGTCCGAGAAGATGATGCGCATCAGGCCGCCGGGGACAGGTGTGTAGGCGAGACCGCCATATTCGTAGACTGTCGTCGAGGCGCTGTATTCCTCTGCTAGGATATGTTCCGGGCCGTCGGGTGTTATCTCGGCGATGCCCGTCGTCCCGTCTCCTCGCTGTTCGAGGAAGAAACTCCTCCCCGTCTCGGGCTGTATTGAAGTTGTCAGAAATCACAGCCGAATACTACTTCGGGTCTCTTGCAGGGACGTACGCAAACTCGAGGAGATGTGAGGACCCGACTGCCAGCAGTTGCAGCCTCGGCCGTGATGGAGCTCTTCCAGTCCCCGTAGGGTGCAGTCTTGATTAACACCATTTTCTCGTTTCTCGAGCCCTTTCTCACTTGAAGATGAGGATGTAAAGGTCTGTCCGGGGCCCGGACGCAGCAGTCTGGCGGATATAAATCATTTCTCTATCTCTGGGGAGGTACAAAGTACATTTGACGCCCTTTCGGCCCCACGAATCCGGGGGCTGAGTAGTGGAAGTGGTACGATCTCCCAAATCGCGGGCGTGGGCGGCTCACGTCATCCGCCGCCTCCTTTCCCCTGTGGTTGGGTCAGGACCATCAACCGCGGCCAGACCGGTCGATGTCACTCCTACCCTGCTGCAGCAGACGGGCATCAAAAGCTAGCCAGTTTCTTTCTGGAATTTGAGTTTGACGCCAAAGCAACGGGGCACAGCTGAAATGTAGGGAAGTTTGCGTCGTCGCATGTCCCGTTCTCCAATAGATAGAGTTCCCTGCGCCGCCGCCCTCGGCATGCGCGAAGCGCTCCATTCACATGATTGGGTCTTTGACCTGTGGTTTGCCTGCTGTGTCACCACGGACGGCAGTCCGGCAGATCAGGACAATCTGCTTGCCCGAATGGGGAATTTTGCTACGGTCGTTGTCTGCGTGTCTCCCACGGCTCTTTAGCTGCTTCTTCACCGAGGTATACTACTGATTCATGAATAACACATCGGTCATGGATCGAGACTCCAGAACGTTGCCAAGTTATCCCCGGTCTGGTCCGATGATCCCTCGGATTTCTCTCATATTAAATACCACCTTGGCGCGTTGGGCTTGTCCGACCCGCAAGTCGGACCTGAGGAGGAGGATTTCTGGTGCCTGATTAGAGTATGTTCTTAGGTTCGCGCAGCCGACAATGAAGGGATCATCCTGGTGCTGTCCAGACTCAAGAAAGCCGGGTCGGAATTGAAAAAGAAAAAAAAGGAAAAGCTGCAATGGCTGGTTGTGGGTGCTATGCTATGAGCTGGTTCCTAACCAACAGATATGACGAGTCACAATACTGCTGCAAGAATAGTATTTAGTTGTATCTGTTGGTACGGCTAGCGCGATCGACCGATCGGTAGGCACCAACAAGAGAGGAGGTTCCCAAACACTGACCACTGCGAGCGAAAGATGAGGCAGAATGTTCTCTTGGCTTGAACCAATACCAGTCTGCTTGAAAGATATCTAGAGTAGAAGGTACTTTTCTACTTGAAGAATTGTCTGGGATTGCTTAGAGAAATCCAACAGATCACGGCGTACGCTGTCAGAAAGTGCACAAAGTCCATGCATGGCCTAAAATGGGTATCGCGGTTGTCATCTGCAAAGGCCCGGTGCCGATACCTAAGTAGGTCCATTCTGGAAATATGCCGGGGAAAACAAACTGTATAAGTATTGCTCATGTTTAGCAAGGTGGTGTCGCTTCAAGGCGGCCGCCCCTAGGATGTAAGGATCGGTCGTCGGATGTTGGACCCGACGGTTAGCCAACCGGAGGAACGTGGCGGTGCCAAGAATCGTTCGATTTGACTGACATAAAAAGAATCCTCCCTAATAAGCCGATTTAAATAGTCGGGATGGAATAGATGGTATGGGATGTACATTGGATGATTGTGAACAAGAAACGGCGGGGAGCAAATCACGGATGTTGTTGACCTTCTGTAATTCCAAATGGGGAAGTGCAGCTGGCGACAAGACATTTGTGATATTTCTCAATATTCACAGTAGGTGTGCCCTGCGAAACTGGATGCAAGTTGTCCGCGTCATACTAGCATGCTGTTCCTCGCGAGGTCATGATAACAAAAAGTGTGGTGGGCGGATTTCTCGGACACGGCATCAACCGGTTTCTTCGTTCCTCGGGAAGCGCCTACCTATCCCCTCCCTTTTCCTTCTCTGAGCCGCTACTCACGCTCTCCTTTTTGTCCTTCTCATCGACATCGTCACCGTCATCCATCTCGACATCCCCAACCGCAGCCGCCAGCCCCTCGCCCTGACTGCTCTCGTTGTTCTCATTCTCAAGATCACCCGACTGCTTGAGGAAATAGTCTACCACATCAACCTTATCGTTGAAGCTGGCCAGGTCGAGCGGCACGTATTCCTTGTTGTTGGCGATCGCCACCGAGGCACCGCT